GATTTTGATCACGTGAGCATGAGGATGCTACAATGGTTGTAAGTGTGAAAAACGGTCATAATTCCCTTTTCCAGTTCCATTGTAACTTTGAATGGTCATTAAATGAACTGTTGTAAATCAAGGACTACCCCAATTCTTCCTAGCTATCCCGGCATTACTCAATTTTCTAAAAACAGTACTTGTTTTCAGTTAAGTTCCAGTGCATCTTTGTATGTGTGCTTCTTCAAATGCTTTGACAAATTATGTGCAGAAAGCAAACAAAAAAAGGAAAGAAAAACCTAAATATTTCATTTCCTATTTACAAGCAAGTAAATAGGTTTCATTTTTGCAAGCTGTTTCCTCTAATATGTACTGGTGCACAAAGTACTGTACACATATTTTTTTGTTAGTCATATACGTGCTTCGTTTTATTTTTAATTGGAAAACAGCATTGCAGAAATTATGGACGTTGTTTACCTTGGATGACTATCTGTTCATTTGTTTCTGCCTTCTTTCCACCTCTTGAGATAAAAATGGAGTTGAAAAAAAAAAGATAATGCCTGTTAAAAACTTCCACCATGAATGCCATCTTTAATCAAGACTACTGTGGATGAATCACTGTTCCCAGGTTTTTGTGGTGTCAACAAAGCTGGAAACGTGCAGGCAAGATTTCTGTTTTCTGTCTTTGGTCAATCTAATTATTCTTGAGACTGCTTAATCTCACCTCCCATCTGTTGTTAATAATCAACTAAAGTAGCTGCTGTGTTGGGCCCAATAATTTTGAATCTTGTTTCTCTTGCAAGTTGATTTTAATAGCGCAAGTTCAGACTATTATTTCACCTAGCTTACTCAGCCTAGCCTTCTTAGCTTTTAGGCTCTTTCAGGCTCTCTTTATAGTTTTCTTTGTTAACATGGAGCTTTAAGCCACTCGATCCCATCACATGACATATTATGGCGTATAGTGACATTGTTTGCCTTTGTGGTGTTGGTGTCAAGGCCTAGTGCAGGAACTGGGGTGGGCGAGGTCTGCACATGACGCATCCGGCTCATGGGCCGCCAGTTTGATACTCCATGGTATTGGACCTGGATACTTGAGAGACCGCCTGCTGCCAATTACCTCCCAAAGACCCATTAGATCGCACAGGGCCGGCCTCCTCC